TATATGCAGCACGGTGGCGCAACTGGTAGAGCTGCTGCCTCTCAGCGAGCAGGTCCCTGGTTCAAACCCCGGTCCAGGAGCCTTTCTGGGTGGAGTTTGCATGTTCTCTCCGTGCATGCGTGGGTTTTCTCCGGGTACTCCAGTTTCCTCCCACAGACCAAAAACATGCATGTTAGGCTGATTGGTAACTCTAAATTGTCCCTAGGTGTGAGTGAGAGTGAATGGTTGTTTGTCTCGTTTGTCTCTATGTGGCCCTGTGAATGTACACATTCAGAGTTCAGTTCAGCTGTTTTCTGACCTGTTTTCTCACAATGTCGACTTGTCAGCTCATCTCTCCAACAGTCGGCTCACTAACAGAATTCCCTCCAAAAACACCACACTGTGCTCCGATTGGTCAGTTCCAGTGCTTTTATTAGATCCCGCCCACTTCCACTTCAGCTTCTCTGTGAAATTCAAAGTGCTCAACACCAACAAAACAACACAAAACAAATTTACTGTACCAAGTTTTTCCACATGTGATGAACAAGAGACCACAGGAAGACGTTAGAAATGACATGATGGATGAGAAACGTGCAGAACGCTCGTTGCTCGTGGGATCGTCCACGTGATGTTCATGTGACGGAGACTCAACATAAAATTAGCATCAACCCTGAAAAGTAATCAAAGTTTAAAAAAAATTTGTAAGAAATAAGCATTTAAAAAAATGTTTTTAAGTAAAACAAAAGCAAAATAATATGACAGAGAAACCTGAATAATGAAATAAAATACAGAAAATATGGAAAAGTGCAACAAATATGATGATGGTGAATCAGAACATGAACCAGATTCATTAGGGTCCAGTGGTTAAGAGACATAATGTGACCAGGCGGTCTGACAGGTGAAACGTCTGAGATGTGTTTGCTTGCCGCTCCGGACCTGAAGCAGAAAACGAACAAATCATTTGTTGGATGCTTTGCTGCGACTGTCTATAATCTTTGTGTCTGCATTATTTTCTCTGTGCACATCACCCATCAGACTAAAAACAGGAACTATGAAAACCTCGACCAACAGAACTTTGACTTCAGGAGAACACCTAAGGTATAAACTTGCATGGTGACATGATGCACGCCGCCCAACCAATCTCTGAGCTCGCCCAGTAGTAGCCAAACACCAGTTAGCCCCGCCCACTCGCCCAGAATCCAACCCAGCTCCAGAGATAAACTCTTGTCCTGGTGGCACGTCATCTCTTTTCGTTCTTTTGATTTTTCATGATTCCTGCACACAGAGAATGGGTTCACACTTGCAGGAGAGACGCCCTTCCTCTTCCCTCCTTGCTTCATCGTCCACCTCCCCTCCTTCCCTCCTCCCCTCCATGTGAAGGGTTGCATGCAGCCAGGCTGATGTTTGGCTCTGTCTGCAGACACCTGAGGACCTCCGCCCCCCAGGATCCTCACTCCTCCTTTTCTTTTGGGAAATGAGCCACTCTCTCTTCCCCTCTTCTCTCCTCCTCCCCTCTTCTCCCTGTCCTCCCTCTCTCCACTCGAACCTTTTTTTAATTTGCAGTTGCATCAGCGCTCTAACATGCACGTCCCTGATTGGTTGGTTGGAGTCTTGAAAGCGCCTCAGTTTGCATGAGCCACCACACCACGCACAACTTTTTGCCCTTCCTTTTTTGTATCAAGCTTTGTTTTCTTTCAGTTTAGCAGACCTTCAACACTTTTTGCCTCCATTTTTTGCCCCGCCCCCCTCCTCCCATGGTAGCGTGGGTGAGAGGGAGCATGGTCGAAGCTGTGGGTCCAGGGTGACCTGGGGAGGGGAAGCTTGTAACAGTTCAGAGCTAATAATGCGTGTTCTATGATGTGTTCTGTGGTGTTGTGTTTTGCCGTGTTTCTCCTTGTCCCTTGGTGGTACCGGTCTGTTGGTGGAATGGTCCTTCAGGCAGAGAAGGTGCTGCTCTTCAGTCAAGACACCAACCTAACGGCGCTGCTGCTGGAGGCCAAAGACCTGGAGGCCCGAGTCATCATCCTGTCAGCCAGGTGAGATCATTAAAGGTACCCAGAGGAGGTCATGTAATAAGAGAAGTCATGGGGTATTTCACACTCATGAAACATTAACCTACGTCTTCCATGGAGGAAGTTGAGTCTAGGGACTTTGGGGTTGGACTGTCCATAACCGTGGCTGAGGTTGCAGCTGTTGGGGGACCGGAGGGTGTGCTCAAATTATAGGGACAGGACTTTCCTTAACCTCCCTGGTAAGGTCTATTCAGGAGTACTGGAGAAGTGAATCCAATCATTTGTCGAACCTCAGATCCAGGAGGAAATATGCAGGTTCAGTTCAGGCTGTGAAAGACTGGATCAGCTCTTTACCCTCATCAGGGTCCTCGAGGAGTTACTGGAGTTTGCCCATCCAGCCTATATGGATTTTATGGATTTGGAGAAGGCATTTGACCGTGTTCCTCAAGGTACACTGTGCGGGGTGCTCCTCTAGTATGGGATTGGGGGCCCATTACTACAAGCTGTTCAGTCTCTATACAAGCGGTGCCAGAGTTTGGTTGTCATTGCCGGTAGTAAGTCGGACCCCTAAATTTTGCTAACAGGCTAGCATGCTAATGTCTTGCATTCCTTCCTAGCATTCGGTGAGCTAAACTAACATTTTTTACACATCCATGTTTTTCTCCTAAATAAAACAAATTTGTGTTTTTACCAAACTGAAAAAAGTGAAGAAATGTTTTATTTACAGAAATGAGTGGAATGTTAATCGTTGTTAGTGGACTATTGTAAGCTAGCAGGGTGGGAGTTGGACTCGGTCAGGGTTGCCCGTTGTCATCAATTCTGTTCATAACTTTTATGAACAGAATTTCTTGGTACAGCCAGGAGGCAAAGGGAGTCCGGTTCGGTGGCCTCAGGATTCATCTCTGCTCTTTGCAGATGATGTGGTCCTGTTCGCATCATTGTGCCGTGATCTTTAGCTCTCACTGGAGTGATTTGCAACCAAGTGGGAAGCTCCTGGGATGAGAATCAGCACCTCCACATCTGAGGCCATGGTCCTCAGTCAGAAAAGGGTGGGTTGTTCTCTTCAGATCGAGGGTGAGGTTCTGCCTAAAGTGCAGGAGTTCAGTATCTTGGGGTCTTGTTCACGAGTGAGGGAAGAATGGAGCAAGAGATTGATAGACAGATTGGTGCAGAGTCTGCAGTATTGTGGACTCTGTACCGGTCCGTTGTGGTGAAGATGTTGCTGAGCTGTAAGGCAAAGCTCTCTGTTTACTGGTCAGTCTACGTTCCTCCCCTCACCTATGGACATAAACTCTGAGTAGAGAGTGAAAGAATGAGATCGTGGGTACAGGATGTTGAAATGAGTTTCCTCTGCAGGGTAGCTGGACTCTCCTTTAGAGACAGGGTGAGAAGTTCAGTTATCAGAAGAGACTCAGAGTAGAACCGCTGCTCCTCCACATAGAGAGGAGCCAGTTGAGGAGGTTCGGGCATGTCCGACTGGGAGGAGACCCCGGGGAAGACCCAGAACACGCTGGAGAGACTACGTCTCTCGGTTGGCCTGGGAACACCTTGGGGTCCTCCCAGAAGAGCTGGAAGAAGCTGTGGAGAGAGATGTCTGGGCCTCTCTGCTCAAGATGCTGCCCCCCAGACCTGACTTCAGAACAAGTGTAAGATAATGGATGAATGGATGGATGATACATTACAAGGATATAGGAAATGACACTATACAGTATGATATAGTACAAAATATTGCAGTAGAGTACAATAAAGTACAGTATGACTTGACAGACTTCAGTACTATACGATTCAGTGCAGTACAATATGGTAAAATGCATTATGATACAATTCAAAGCAGTACAGTACGATATAATAAAAAAAAACAATACATTGTAGTACGACATGATACAAAGCAATGCTTTTCAATACAATGCAGTATGATACGATACAATGCAGTACTACACAATACAATACAGTAAAATACAATACAAGATGATACAATACAATGCAATAAAATGCTACACAAACTAAGACAGTGCTGTATGAAACATTACAATATAGTACAACACTACATGATGCAGTACAGTACGATACAACACTGTTCTGTTTTCTCTGTGCTTAACTTTGTGTCCTTGCAGTGAGGATGAAGCAGCAGCCGTGTACAAAGCGGCCCGACATCTCAACATGACCGGTTCTGGTTACGTGTGGCTGGTCGGAGAGCGTGAGATGAACGGCAAAGCTCTGAGCGAAGCTCCGGATGGTAACGTATCCCTCCTCTTCCTCTCTGGTCCTCTTCCTCTCTGCCTGTCTGCAGCTCTGCTTCCATCCATCTGTCGGACTGAAAGTTTAATCAGCTGCAGGAAACACCTTCAGGATTCTGTTCAGGCATCTTCAGGGTTTGAAGCTGAAGATATTGTCACGTCACTGCGATAAGGAAAAGAAAGATCAATTTAAGAAACACCCAGCTTTCCACTTGAGCTGATGCACTTCAAGTTCTGGTCCTGTACCAGAGGCCTAGGAGCTCAAGGGTTCTGCTGGTCCTCAGACTGCAAAGGTTTCAGAGGTTCTTCTGGGATTACTGTCCCAGTTTGGGGTTCGCAACCCCAAGTAAACCAGTGACCACACACTTTTATAAGAGGCTGAGAAATGATGCAGTTTTGTGAGAGACCCAATCAGAGTATGTCAAATAGCTCCTGGTAGACATGTTGAATTGGGCTGACTCCGAAAGGTAATCAGTTGTCGATGTACATTTGATTTATTTCAATGGTTCATGATATTATTTACCACCAGACTGGGAAACGAATACTCAGACACAGGCAGTAACCTCTGTCAAACTGTGTTTCAGGGAGTTTAGCAGTCTCATTGCCTGAAGCTTCTGTCCATGCCGGCTCCTTGTTGTTCAGTCCAGGGACTTCTTCTTCCAAACGATGTTTAAACAGCTCCGAGGAAGGATGTGAGGAACCAGGCAGACATAGACACAAAATGCAAGATACACTGTCGACAGCAGAAGTTTGAAGAAAAACTATCTTTTAATGAGGAAGTTTGACAATCTGCTGTCACGTTGGTGGATTTCATAAACATTTTTACTTCCTCTGCTCTTCGTGAGCTTCAAGGTGGTTGGATGGAAGCACCGCCGCACGCTCTCTCTCGTAGCTCTGTAGGTCTCGGGAGCTAGCCTTCCTAGCTGTCACTTAGCTTCGATCTATGAGTTTATCTGGCCGCTGGTTGAACGTTTAAACATCGGGCGGTTGGGGGAGGGGTCGTGTTTAAAGGTTCTCAACCACTCGTTTCTGTTCTGGTTCGTTCGAACTGTGTGGCTTTCAATGTGTCTAACATGTCTAACATCTTTTTGTTTCATTTTCTATAGTGTGTGTCGTCCGCCCGCCCGTCTGATCGTTCTCACAGTACACGAGCCAATCACGTGGGCTGACACATGGGGGGTAGAGAGGGTGGGGGTACAGGGGTGGGGGTTGGGGGGCGGGTGCTGCGGTTACCGTGGTGTGTGTTCAATCAACTGGTAAGACACCTCTGCTGCTTCTTGTTTCCTGCCTTCTGCTTTGCCGTTTGCCTTTGGTCAATAAAGATCCCGCCCACTGCGACGTGAAGCCTGGGGGCGGGGTTTATTGAGTCAGCTGATTACTCAGACAGCCAGCGGATCATCTACGTTTGAACCGAAGCTCAGACCAGGTGAAGTCCACCTGAACCCCTTCTGGTTTTAGGCTAAACTTCCGAGACCACAGTCAGAAATCCTTTGCAAGTTGTTGGTTTTACTTCGATACCACTGCTTCATTACGTGAACAGTGCAGGAACTTCAGTACAAAGATTTTACCAGAAATAAATAAAGTCTTCATTTACAATGTTTGGTGTGAAAGAATGAAATGGACTCGCTGCAGACTCTCTGGCTTCTGAGTAATCCACTTCCCGCTCTTCTGCTGTGGTTTGGTTTTGCTCCAGAAAACATCCTCGCCGACCGGCGGCTGCACTCTGAGAAGTGACGAGACTTTCCTCCACATCTGCGTTCCTCCTCACAGATGTGCTGAAAGTCCTCCTCATGTCTGTAGAGGTGTAGCGAGGCTGCCCTCTCAAAACCACCCAGCTGTTTTGTCTCAGTTCCAGCAGGTTCCCCGTTTCTTTTTAAGGAACTGTTTCCTGACTAGTTGCTTCTGTATACTTTAAACTATTTTAACATTTGAGGCATGAGAACGTTCAGCGTGTTCAAAACATCGTGGCCTTGCCTTGTGCTTCATGTAACGTTTACACTTTTTGAAACACTCAACATTTTTTTGGTCATTGAACTGAAGAGAATATTTTTTAAATCCTTGAAAAATGTGCTTAAGACTTTTTGTCAGAGCAAATACAAGTACAAATACTTCAGTTTGGGTACTTGCTGATACTGAGTACCAGTACTGAGCAGCTAATGAGTTAGCAGATCTGATTCAGAGTGTTCACACCTGCCGGTGAAATGTGTGCCGCTCGAGTTACACCGATATGGAGTTACGGAATAAAACCAACTGATGGTGCGAGACTAATGAAAGTCCATTCACAGAGCTCAGTGTCAGACTGAAGGTTTTACACAAACTTCAGTGAATATTATCCAACGTAGCGCTGCCCAGATGGCTGGATTTTAACTGACAGCACATTATAGGTCAGTCTGACCGCAGCAGGTCCAGACACGATCAGAACCCACCGTGCACGGTCCTGTTCTCCTCTGGTACATGGTTCCCAACAAATGGGAATGAGACTCTTACAAAAGAGTTCATTAAAGTGGTTAAGCTGCAAACCAGAAACAAACAAACAAAAAGAGCTTTAGAACATCATCAACGACGGCTGTTAGATTATCTTTAAGTATCCAGCAGCTGAAGGAGTCCAGATCTGGGTCCAGTCACGTCCGTTCAGGAGGAGCTGGAACGTCCAGGATCTGATTGCATGCTGGAGGTCTGGGTGAGAACGTTTTCAACCCGTTATCAGATCCCTGCTCGCTTCCTGAAACATTTCCCTAACAGAAACCTGTGGCGCGGTTCGGGACTGTCATTCCCCGATCTGTTACTGAAGCACGATCCGTAGTGAACTGCCAGGTCACACGATCTCCGTTGTTTATGAATGAAACTGTCTTAATTTACTTAGAAAAGTCTGTGCTCTATCTGCACCGATCTTCATGGAGCTAATTTACGCCACTCGTATTTCTGTTACAATCACTGGTTCAGATGATCTGCGACGCATAAGAGCTGACCCCAGTCTGGGCTGAGTGAGGAAACCCTGCGAGACACAGAATGAATTATTTCCATGGTGAAACAGCTCCGCTCAGTGATGAAGCTGCACTTCATCTGAACCATGTCGGAAACATGTCAGTGATGAAGCTGCACTTCATCTGAACCATGTCGGAAACATGTCAGTGATGAAGCTGCACTTCATCTGAACCATGTTGGAAACATGTCAGTGATGAAGCTGCACTTCATCTGAACCATGTCGGAAACATGTCAGTGATGAAGCTGCACTTCATCTGAACCGTGTCGGAAACATGTCAGTGATGAAGCTGCACTTCATCTGAACCGTGT